GTCGTCAGAACGACACGAAACCCTGTGATATGCATGTGAATGCTCATGAAACTATTCTTGTTGGAGCCGCCATGTTCTTCCGGCTCTACCTGATGTCGCCTCCGTCGCCGCACTGCGCCAGTAATGCTCGATGTCGAACGGATCGCGGCCAACGACGCAGCAAAGGCGCGGGGGAGCGGCAAGGCAACGTCGGCGAGCGAAGTGTGCAGCGTGACATTGTGTTTAGCGAGGTTCCTTTCCCACTCCCGAACCAAGCTGAGTGTCTTCGCCACGCGTTCACTGTTGTCTCGCGCATCCACCACCACCCATTCCTCGATCTCCCGCGCAAGCGACATGATGGACGGTCCAACCTCGATGGTGTTTGCCCGTATATCCAAGCGAATCATCGTTTCCTCATTTTCCGTCACACCACCGCCGAATTTCGACCCCACCAGTGCGGTGATACTAGGAAACGGGATGGTAAGCAACGATGCCATCAGGCCACCTGTAGCTGCAGCGCCTCCAACAGAAGCCGTAGTAGTATCTCTTTCAGAAGGGTGAAGAGACAACTTCACACGGCGTCGCATCGAACGCGACAAGATGCTTGTTGGGCCGTCTGTCATCACCGTGGTGGTAGCCGCCCCTGTCACATCCTTCTGAAGGGCAAAGACCCGCACTTCGCCATGCTCAAGACGTGCTGTCAGGTCGACATGGTACAGCGTGGGGCCCTTCTTCGACTTCGACCCCCCGCATGGATTGATCGGGTCAATGTGGTGCCGCTGTTGTCTTTCTCCCCCTGTTTTTGTCGGCTGTGGTGTTACTGTCGCAGTGGAAGCAGCACCAGCATGTACCCCTTGCGCGGCCACAGCGGCACAAGCGGCAGCACACGCTCGCCGACGTTTCGAATAGTGTAGAAATGGCTTTGACGGTAATTCCTGTGCTATTTGGCTAAGAATGCTGACAAAGCGCGTCGAGATAGTAATCTGCGGGGCGCTCATATCGACAGCAGCACCAATGTTGACCTCACCACCAGACAAGCTCAGATGCAGGGGAGCCTCTATGGAGGCGAAATACACCCTGGACAAGGATTTATGGTACTCATTGGGTTCGAAACTTGTAAGAGTACCGCGTCCGCCAAGAATGTGGGTGCTGCTCAGCAGTTCCTTCGCCGAGGCATCGGTTGCGAGAGGAGAACCGTCGCTGTAGTAGAAGTACGCGTCATCCATCGCGAGGCGGGCGGTAAATTTCACCTTCTTGGTCGTGTCCTGCTCCACTGTACATGGGAATGTACTATAGCTCTCATTGCCTCCAGTTGAACGCCCAGCCGGGACGCATTTCTTCGACTTGAGCAGACCGCAGGAAACCATGGTGTTTTCCACCTTCATCTTCAGCGCCATGGTGGGGATGAAATGCTTGCGGTTTAGCGTTGATACGCCACGCCCGTGCATGTACACATCGGGTAGCTCTTCCAGAACGCTGCGGTACGCTGCATCACCACATGGCATAACAACGAGGAAATTTGACACTGTTACCAGGAACTTATTGTCAGACGTTTTGTTGAGAAATTTCGCCTCCAGTGAAGCAAAATCTATTGTCTCTGCCTGGGGCGCAAGCGAGACGCGTCGTGATAGTGACAAGTTCCCCCTGGGTATCACATGGGCAGTTAACTCTCTGAGGCGCCCCGCCTTTTGTAGCTGTGACTGCTGCATCTCCGCATCCATCTGTCTCCGCACGCGCGCGAGGCTCCGGTACGTTGCAGACTTGGCAAGCTGACGTCGGAACAGCCGGCCCTCCCGCTGCGTCGCGAACCGCATCTTCTCCGCAAGATCTTTGGTCTCATCAATAGACTGCTGCAGCAACGGCAGAAGTCCAATACGGGCAATGATAAGTGGTGACAGAACAGAGAGATTCCAGCGCGTGGCGATGGTATTCAGTGAATCCAACTCGGACAGAGCAGAAGTTGCCCTCGGTGACGGCACTGCAACCAAAAAGTTTTCGAAGGCCATCTGCGTTTCATTTCTGTAGATCTGCCCACCAGACAATGTGAATGATGTCTCAAAGAGGCCCCAGATGTATCCACCCAGCGGACGCACCACCCGCACCGAGTCGTCTGAGCCTGGCGAAGCGGAGGGGCACTGCGGTGGGGCCGCCTTTGTGCTAGGGACAGAGGCTTCGCTGCGAGCAGGCACTGTCCCTTGGCACAGCATTGACTGCAGCTGATCGTGATCGTCACGATCGACAAGAGCGATCTGTGCATTGGAGGCCTTTGTGGTAAAATGTGTGGTTCGCTGCTCGCCTATAGCATTCACATCCGCCACTGTGTGCAGCCTCTTCATGGAGAAGCGCAGATTCGTCATGGATGTCAGATACGATGCACGAAATCCATCCAGCAAAAAGACGAAACGACCCTTCCAACCTGAAAAGGATATCTTTGATGATGGTTCACGAGGCAGCACATCCGTATGACCCTCTTCCCCATCCTGAACATGCACAGGCTTCGAGAGAACGGCGAATGCAGTCAAAAACCTGTCGGAAATTAGAAGCAAGTGACTAATGATGCTGGGTGAGACAATGATCTCCACGCTCTCCATCAAGCAAGTGCCCATCCGTCTCGCCTCATCCTTGGCATACAATATATACAGATTTGGCAAATCGATGTTGTGCCTACCTGCCGACGGGCTTGTTGACACCAGTGCAAAGGGATGCAGGTGTGACTTTAACTGGAGCCGCTCATCAGAGGAGGCATTCAAAAATGCAGACGCGAGTGGCACGTCAAGTTCAATGCTAATGCCTTGCGGCATATCTGTTCTTATCCGCATCTCACGTATTTGCATTATACAACACCACGCATGCATTCTCTTGGTGGGTGGCACCACAGAGTTCGAACCGTTATTTCCAGGCGCACCACGGGCGTGCTGCATCGCTTGCAAAATCCTGCGCGACTTCATCCACTCCCGCAGCCATTGGTGCAACTGCGGTGCAACCGTCTCGTTTGCCTGTGGGCGGTACGGCCACGAAACATCGACTTTGTCCATCTTTACCTGCAAGTTCATTTGTACCCCATTCGTTTCATTCTTTTTTTCCCGTTTCGATGCGTGTTGCACGTTCTCCTCCTCCTCATCATCATCAGTCTCACCAACGGTCGCGTTGTTTTGGTCCGCCTGGTGCACGCCCACCGCCAGATGTGTGGCGGTAGCGACAAAAACACGCGACTGCACCGTCGTCTGGCTCGCCCCCAAAGTGCAGGCCTTGATGCCACAAGGGGTGGTCAGCACTATTGCATCGGCAACGTATTGCAGAAAGATGGTCTCCGCAAAGAAGGAGGCGCTGTTCTTGAGATGCAGCTGCGGCGTGACAGATGGCTGGGCGGCGTAACAACTCTTCGGTGCCCACTCCCGCGCTCTTTGTGCCGTTTTGCTTAGATTCCCGCGCAAACCGTCCGATATCGTGTCCGTCAGGACGTGCGTCTCAACGCATTCATGCGAACTGACGCGCTCCGTGCGGGACTCGCCATACCCGGTGAGTTTTGACCCCTTGAACTGCATGAAGTTCATCTTTGAGTGCAGCATCGTCACATCCAGCTGGTGTAACGTGAAACTGCCTTTCAAAACGACACCAAGCCCACCCCCAGCTGTGTCGGTGGCAGGGGTATGTAACAGGTCGTAGAAGATCGTCGGCACGAACTGTTGCGAGTCCTCCTCACGGCTTTTCGTTGGCGCCGTCATTGCGGCACCCTTAAGCTCCTTTGCGGCACCAAAGAGCTGCAGCACCGATGGGTAGCACCTCACCAGCAAGGAGTTCACCTCCCCAATAAAATGCACCTCCGCATCGCGGTGTTGTCGCCGACGTCGCTCTGTCTCCTGCCATTCGGTGCTCAACAGGGATGAATCTCTGGTGGATACTGCCGGGAGTGGCGCATCCAAGGAGGTTTTTCGACTCACAGGAAGTGGGCACCACTCGCTTCTTCGTTTTATTGGCACCTTTGCAATGAACTTTGCTGATGGGCGCGTGACTTCCATGAGGTTTGCATGATCGGTGTCAACACGCATGCAAGGTCCTTCGCGATACACGTCGACGAGCTCAACACGCAGTGTGTCAATGGACCCGACACCCTGCACGATGCGATTCGCCTCAATACCAAAGTTCCCCATAGACGTAGAGGGAGCATGACACACTGATGACGAACACGACGGAAAGAGAATGTCCCGCAGGCTATCCACCTGCTCGTGGCGAATCATCATGGACTCCGGCGTGGGGGCATGAGGGAAGATCTGCATCTGAGGTGGAGCACGCATGTTGCGCAGCTGCAGAAGCATAGCCTTTATGGAACCCACATAGTGGAAGAAGTTGCGGGTAAGGTGGAAGGCAACAGTGTCCAACATCACTCGGCATGTCCCGCTTTCCACTCCGTGTGTGGAATCCTGCTTTCCGCGCCCGCAGAAAGAAGTAAGATAGGAAACAGCGAGGGTATCTTTTTCCTCGTCGTATACGATGCCAGGGACCTTAATGCGAAGATTTCCCTCTCGCGCGAGCGGCTCGTACTCCACTTGCGTAATGATGGCAAGCGACGAGAAAGTGACAGAAGCGGAGAGGGCGCTCATCTTCAACTGCATGGCGGCATGAGCAGGCGGCATGGCTTGCTGCATCACGAACTGAAACGAACGCACCCCAAGCATTGTTGTGTAGACGCCGTTACCGGTGGTAGCACCAGGTGTCATGTTCTCCGGCGGTGGTGGAAGTTCTGTCAACACCTTCACCTCGATACAAGGAAGAATGACGCTCACGATCTTCACCTCCGAGAGCCACCGCTTTTGGTGTACACGATTCTTGCTGGGCTCCTTCCGATGTATCGGGTGCTTTTTCAGTCGATTGTGCCCTTCAAGACGGCTCACCACACTGCTGGCTGCCGCGCCCACCGTTCTAGAGGACAAGCCACCCAAAAAGGGTGCGGCAGCGGCGGCGGCAGGAGATTTAGACCTGTAGTATTGCACCTGCGCGAGAAAGCGTGCCTCCGCATCGAAGTACAACTTCTGCACGAAGTCTTTCGTCACGAGCGACGTGAGCGGCGCCACCGCCTCCACGTGCAGGTGCTTCGACGTAGAGCCCTCCCGTGAGCGCCTACGATTGTCGGCGGTGCGCAGCGCCCACACTTCGGCCTCTGCGTCACCGCTATCGTCCGTCTCGAAGGTCTCGAGCATCTGCTCTGCCATACGGTACTCCAGCGCCCGGTGTGGACTCATGACGGAGAAGAACTCCGTGGATGGGAGCTGTGCGTGAAAGCAGGTACGGTCACGAATGTTCCGCTGCGCATTCCACGCTGTCGCGCTGTATCGCAGTGATGTCTGCTCCTCAGCTGCCGTCGCGTGCAAGAAGAAGGGCCGCAGGAACGATGTAAAGGGCTCGAAGGGACGCAGCTCCACGGAATTCTCCCCATCGTCGCCCAACGGCGCCAGCGTAAACGGGGCGCCACGATCGACGCTCGGGGATATCGACGCCGCAAAGGCGTCGTTGGGGAGTTGACTAGTGCTACTATGGTTCTCATCGTTCATTAGCTCCTCATCCTCGTCTTCGTCCTCCTCACTGTCATAATCATCGTCGTTCGCAGCCGTTGCCGAGAGGCAGGTGGCAAAACGCTGGGATGTGTTGTTGTTGTTTAACAAAGGCGAATGCAAAGTGAATGTCTCAGGGTGGCTGAGCGTTACCGCAGAAACACCGTTTGGTGTCTCATCGTTGTCCTGCTGAAGTCTCGAGAGTTGTTGCTCGAAATTAATAATCACATCGTGCAGAGACTCCCCCTCACCATGAGGTGCGCGTTCGTCACGATTATCATCGGCCACTGCATTGTCAATGCTCGCTTGCCTTGCGTTGCGTGGAGCCGTTTTTGGCTCTAAGACTCCGCTCGCCTGCAGCGGGGTACGCACAGCGTGGGGAAACTGGCCTGTGAAGACAGAGTCGACGTCGTTGTCTTTGACGAACTGCTGCTGCTTCTCAAGGTGGGACTCGAGACCCTTCTCGAACGGGTACGCCGTGCAGCGCCGCACCCGCAGCGCCGTCTCGGTGTGAAACACCTCCACAAAGTCGTCGCCCGATTCATGGCGGCAAAAACCCCGCAGCGCAACCGCCTGGACAGCAACGCTCATCCGACTGTTGGAGTTCAAGTCGTTCATCGACGAAGAGGCCATCTGCACGCCGCTCGGAAGCTTCAGCTCAAAATAGCCGTCTGGCCCGACCGCCACGCACCCCGTCACGCGCTCGACCAGCACCAACTTCGTGGCGACGGCGTAATCCTTCGCCATGTCTTCCGCCTGCTGGAACGTCTTGAGGTACGTGTTGAAGTTCACGGCCATTACCTCCGGCACCGCGTCAGAGAAGGGGACTTGCTGCAGCGAACCGTCGCGGGCGAGGAAGCGTCTCAGCAACTCGCGCACATCAGCGGCGGACTCCGGCCGGCAGCGCGTCATCCGCACTAGACGCGCGCCACCGCGCATGCGGCTGAAGCGAGGAACGTACCCATTCGGGTTGGTCTCTTTGTCGCTATGCACTCGCGAACGCGGCGCACGCGCCACAAAGTGCTCTGCGGAGTACGCCGCCGCCGTCCGCGCCTCCTCAATCTCCGAAACCAGCCTCGCGTCTCGGATTCCAAATTGCTCCATGAAGGCGGAAAGAAGCTGCGTCAGCATCGCGACCTGCTCAACTGTAATATCAAAAGTGACGCCGCCGATCATCACGTCCGTGGCGCTGTGGAAACACGTTCGAAGTGGCAGAGGGCCAAAATGCCGGATTATGCCGACTGCAACGTCGCCGCAGCAAAGGTACGACCCTTCAGCAAGCGTCTCACCGTCTCGGTTCAAAAAACCGCCAGAGATAGGCGTCAGCGAGAGGGATATATCGGTTGCGGCGCACAACTTAATGAGGGCGAATTCAAACCTTCCGCAGCAGAGATTGATTTGGGGCGACTTCTGGTTGCCTGCGCGCAATGTGGCGTCCATGTCTAAAATACAGAGTGACAGATTGATTTCTAGTTCATTACTGCGCGGCTCATTTTTATGCAGGAATGTGTTGAACCCTTGTCGGACATTCTTTGGCGCATCCAACTTGGGCTGGATCTTTGAGAGTGGCCAGAAGAGTTCATCGGGGCGAATCACACAAACCGAGCTTCCTAAAATATTCTCATGCGTGTCCAGTATGGTGCAGATATGCGGCGTCGTGGCGAATCCCCGAAGGCCCACCAGTTGAATATCAAGGTCGAGAGAGTTCCTGAGTTTTGTCCGGCCACTTGCAGGGTCCACCGGGAACCTGTCTTGCGGAACAGTCTGATTCGGTATGTGCACAATCTGCGCGCCCTTTAGGGAGAACTCATCGATCAGCAGAAACGGCTTCGTGGCATCGACGAGGTCGCGCAAGGGATGTGTGCCCGGCACACTCACGGTGACCTCAATGTCCCTCAGGAGTGTCTCGAAGGGGCGGCGCACTTCCGTCGACGCGCTAAGCAGGTAAGCGTCATTCGGCAGCGTCACGAAAAAGTGGCTGTCGCGCTTAATGCAGAAGCTGAGGAGTGTGTTGAGGGTGGCGTCGTTGGCGTCCTCGCTGAAGATCACGTTCTGCTGGTTGGCGTTAATGTGCAGCCAAGTCTTTCCATTGAAGAAGAACTCAAAGCGCTTTACATTTGGGATAAACTCCTTGACAAACTGCGTGTATGTGTTGTAGGTCTCGGTGGAGAGCGGCTCACCGTGGTACATCTGCGGCACGAACTGAAAGTCGGTGATGAGGTCCATAAAGAAAGTAATGTAGTCCATGTACCACCACAGCTCCGTCTCGCGCAACGACGGGAGCACATTAAGCAGCTTGCGCCCATTATAAGCACGATCATCTTGGCGATCAATGAAGAGATCCATCGTGGTCATGTGTGCAAGCACCGTGCTTTCCTCGTGAATGCCGTTTGTCGCAAGCCAGATGTTTTTCCCCGCCAGCAGGCTCTCGAACCGCTGCTTCTCTTCATCCTGGAGCAGGAACTGCGGCTTCTGTATGTACTGCGTCCCACGGCCAAGCGTTATGAGCAGCATGCCCTTGCGGCCCGAGTCCTGAATGCCGAATGGCGGCGAAGGCGCGGGATTCTTGCGCTTGAACGGGACCGTCACGCACGTGTCGCGCAGGAACTCCACCAGTACCTCAAAGCCGGCCAGCGGGCGCGGTTTGCCCAACTCAAATTTAAGCGGCTCCAGTGGGCGGTACGTGGTGGGGAAGAAGGACTCCTTCAGCTTCATCAGCGAGAAGTGTGACCACGGACCGTAGCACAACTCAGGGGCATCAACGAAAACCTCAAAGCCCATGCGCGGCAGGTCTGCCTGGCGGCTCACGTCCTCACCGGCGTGCACGTTTGTCACGTCTCGGTAGAAGACAACGTGCAGCGACGAGCCCCCCTTCCCGCTGAGCAGCACGCCATAGTTACGAATCAGCGAAGACACCTCATCGACTACAGGGCTCGGCATTACGTTCGGCAGTGTGCCCTTCAACATGAGCATGAAGGACTCACGCCAGGAGCCGGGCCGCACCCGCTGTACCTTGACGTGCTTACTCTCCTTCTCCTTCTTCATGGAGCACCAACGCGCGTGCACTTCCTCCAACGTCGCCTCCGTGACGAAGCGGTAGAGATCTACGAGGGGCATGCCGTCCTGCGTCAAGTAACTGTGCGCCTCTGCCCGCTTGAAGCCGACGTGCAGGAAGTACGGGTGCTTGGCGCCTGCGCCGCCCAGGTCCACATAACTTGCATACAACTCGACCTCCACGGCGCCGATAAAGTTATAAAAACGCTGCATCAAGGTCTTCGTCTCCTTCAGCCACTTCTGCTGTTCTGTCGCCTTTGCCTGTTCCGCCGCATCGCTGCACCGTCGTTGCTGCATTTCCTCTTCCTCGCCTATGTTATCACCATTGTTGTTGGTAAATATGCGACTGAAAATGTTCCGGACTGCCCAACTCTGCAGAGATTTTGAGCGGGGCCGTGTGTCTACTGGCTCTGCTGGGGCGAGGTTCTTGTAGTTCCACGTGGCGTTGTAGAGGGTGAGGCCCATCCCGTTCAGGTGCACACGAACTTTACCGCGCCGCTTCGGAATCTGCACCGCACTCACATCCACAGCCTCTGTCCAGATGTTTCCCCTCCCGTCACACGTGCCACTCTGCGGCGGCTCCTGCACGTTGCCCTCCGCCGGCGAGAAGAGCGACTCGGGGCCCGTCGCAGCGTTCTGCGGCCCGTGGCGCGCCATTTTTCGTGACCCGTGGCCGTGGCTGCCGTTGGGGCCCCCGCTGCTGCACCGGTGCGCCGTGTTGCTGGCGTCGATCTCGAGGCACTCTGTGTCCCCGGAGTCGGTGGCGTCGTCGTTGGTCACAATGTTGAAGAGAGGCGTGGCGCTCGCGGTGTCGTCAGGGCTCTCGAGCCGCACCCGCAGCTTCCGCTCGTCGCGCAGCACTTCGACGATGACGCCACGCACCCACTGCAGCTTCACCTGCACGCGGCACCGCATCCCTTTGAGGTCGTCGGTGAACATGAAGTCCCGCACCTTCGTCCACGCCGGGTCCTTCCACCAGCTGTCCCAGAAGATAAACGACACATAGCCGTCAATGACGCGCAGCGAGACGTTCTCGTCCTGGTAGAAGAAGTTCTGTATGAAGATACGGCAGTTCAGTGGGGAGATGAAGAGGCCGCCCAGGTGCACACGCGTCGACGGCGGCAGAACGAAGTAGCGCAGGAGCACCTGCACCGTGAAGCCCAACAGCTTGTGGGTGTACAGCATCAGCATTAGCCCGCATACGAAGAAAAAGATGACAGAGAATACAAACTTCAGGAATATATCCGCGTCAATGTGCATTGTGGCTGGTGCCGCGCCTTACAGCCGGTCCGTCTGCTGCACTGTGTGTGCGTCTTTATGCGTTTAAGCGTGTGTGTACGGCGCCGCGGATATTACACCACAGCGTAGTGTGTGTATAAGGATAAAATGTGCGTATATATATATATGTATTTATTTATTTATTTTTGTGTGTATGTATGCAGATGTGTGCGTATGTGTGTGTTGAGTTAGAAACAGATACAATTACGCAACGCACGCGCACAAGAGCCGTGCGTCGCCGGTCGTGTATAAAGCAGTAAGTGGAGGCTACACCGTCGGTGTGACCCCGGCCACTTCAGCCTTGAAAGGAGGCACAAACTTGGACGCACTCCCCGAGGCGTAACTGCGCCAGCAAACAGACAAACGAAAAAAAAAAACGCAAGAGGACTTCTTTCCTGCACCTGATCTTCTCAAGGACTCCTCTACTCAATCAACAACATACACGAAGGCGTGTCTTTCGCTTGTATGTGCGTGTGCACCGGTGGGCAAAGCAACAGGGGAGGAGAGAGAAGTATAGAGAGAGAGAGACAGGGAGAGAGAACGATAGAGAGTGAATATGAGATGTGTGCAGACAGAAATTACACCTTGGCAGCAGTCTCCCCGAGCTGCTGAATACACACAGAGACGCACACAAAGGAGCAGGAGGGGTGGTGTCGCGTCACGCCTCATCGCTATCATCGTCCGTGTCGACGGCGAAGCGATTCCCGCCGTCCTTCTTCGCCACGCGCGTCTTCGCCTGCTGCAGCTCCTCCTGCGCCCTCGCCGACTGCATCTCCACAAAGCGGCCACGCAGCGTCTGCGGCTTTCCCTCCGCCTCCTCCAGCGCCGCTCGGGCCCTCTTACGGGCCGCCGTCGAGTTCGGCAGGACGCCTGTGCGTGCGAGCTGCGCCGTTGTCTCCTGCGCCGTCTTCGTGAAGACGCCGCCACGCCGCTGCACGCTGGAGTAGAAGAGCACCTGCTGCTGCGACGGGCCGCTGACGGACGTCCGCACAACGGTCGCTGAGTGCTGCCCGCTCTGCGGCTGCGAT